AAAAAAAAAAAAAAAAGAAAAAGAAAAACAGAAAAAAAAGAAAAAGTTTATAAAATGTTAATGTATAGTTATGTGTTACATAGTATGTTAATGCAGATAGAGAAAAAGCAAAATGGAGTAGGGTATGTGTGGAGTTTGCAAATGTATTGAGTGCCTACTATGTGCCAGGCAATTATAATACCTCACCAGTTCATGCCCCTGTACAATTTATAAAGCTTTGTGGCTCTTTTCAGAATTGGAAGACTCTTTATTTATGTGATTCTTATTTTTTATATTGTTTAAAAAGTTAAAAAATATATTTTCTTAGACATGGCGTTTTGCCATGTTGGCCAGGCTGGTCTCAAACTCCTGGGCTCAAGTGATCCTCCTGCCTTAGCGTCCTAAAGTGTTGGGATTGCCGGTATGAGCCACTGCTCGCAGCCTACCATGGCTATGTTATATACTGGAACATCTAAGCATCAGTGTGTGACTGTGCAAACAAAAAACTTCAAAGAGTGCCTATTATTATTATTATTATTTTGAGACAGGGTCTCACTCTGTCGCCCAGGCTAGAGTGCAGTGGTGCAATCACAGCTCACTGCAGCCTCTACCTCCTGAGCTTGGGTGATTCTCCCACCTCAGCCTCCTGAGTAACTGGGGCTATAGGTCTGTGCCACAATGCCCGGCTAACTTTTCATGTTTTTAGTAGAGATGGGGTTTCGGCATGTTGCCCTGGCTGGTCTCAAATTCCTGGGCTCAAGCAATCTGCCCACTTCAGCCTCCCAAAGTACTGGGATTATAGGCATGAACTGCCATGTCCCACAAGAGTGCCTATTTTAAAAAAGGTTTCTATGTATTGAGGCAGTTGTTTACTGCAGAATCAAGCCCACTTTAGGCTTACTACCAGCTTCTATCTAAAAATATTGACTGATAAGCGAAAGTGTTCTAAAGGTGGTTATTCTGATCTATAGTTTTGTTTGTTTATCTGTTTGTTTTGAGATGGAGTTTCGCTCTTGTTGCCCAGGCTGGAGTGTAATGGTGCAATCTCGGCTCACCGCAACCTCTGCCTCCCTGGTTCAAGCAATTCTCCTGTCTCAACCTTCCGAATAGTTGGGATTACAGACATGTGCCACCACACCCAGCTAATTTTGTATTTTTAGTAGAGATGGGGTTTCTCCACGTGGTCACGCTGGTCTCAAACCCCTGACCTCAGGTGATCCACCTGCTTCGGCCTCCCAAAGTGCTAGGGTTACAGGCATAAGCCACTGCACCCGGCCTCTGATCTATA